GCTCTCAGATTTTACTTCTACTTATTGTCATACCACTTAAATCTGTTTCTCAGGAGACACCTTATCTTTTTTTTAATCTTTGTTACTGTCATTTAAGATCTTCCAAATCATTCATTTATTTAACGGTCTTTATCTTCAACAAAGCTATTCTTTTCCTTGATGACTTTATAGCCTTACTTAAGAGTTTTTGATCTATCTGAATTGCAAGCTCTTTTCCTTGATATCTAGAAAGATTTTTAATCAAAACGTACTTCTTGCAAAACAATGGAGACAGTAAAAAGATTAGTGGTGGCCAGGGGTTGAGGAATGGGGAGGGGGAAAGAGGGGAAAAATTGGAAAAGCACAGAGAATTTTGTAAAAATACTCTGGACGGTACTTATCATAATGAATACATCCTGATATATATATGTCCAAAACCATAAAATGTACAATATCAATGGTGAATCCCAATGTAAACGATGGATTTTTGGATGATTACAATGTCAACGCAGGTTCATCAATTCTAACAAATGGACCACTCTGGAGGCGGGAGTTGATAATGGGGGAGGCTGTGTATGTGTGTGGGTGGAGGGTATATGGGAAATCTGTACTTTCCTCTTAATCTGACTGTCACTCTAAATCTGCTCTCAAAAAACAAAGTATTAAAAATTTAAAAAAAGAGAAAGACTTCAAACCTAAACCTATTCTAAATCAAGTAAATTCAAAATCTACTAATGAAGTTATTGAGCTGGTTTACTGGCTACCACTAAACAATGTCCCATTGAATTAATGTACTTACCAAACACTTTATACGTGCTTAGAAATACCAAAATTTTCTACTCTGCCATCTTAGAGTGCCACTGCACAGTAAGAGACTTCCTTATACTCTCAAACCATCAATGAATTCTTTCACTATCAATTTCCTTGCCTATTGGAGTACTTGTTATACTCTCCTGACAAAACCCCTACCTGCTTTACTGTGTGGCTAAATCCTAGATGCTGAACACTACTGGACATAATCATTCAAGTTTACAAGCTTGTATCATCTATAAATTAGAACGTCTAAGCTAGACTTGGCTCACAAAATTATGTATTCTTTATCAACTCAATCTAACATTTATCAATCTCCACAATTCTCCAAATGCTCCATCTTATCATTCACTTTCAGAAAGTTTCCATCCCTAATTTATAAAAAAAAAAAAAAGATTAAAATATCAGTGATATTTCATTGAAAACTCTGCCACTGAACTAATGAACTTACTGTATCTAAACATCTTTTTCCCTTCCATTCTATTATTACAATGAAAATGATGACTCTCTCTCTGGCTACAAATTACTCCATCTTGGCTCTAGACTGCATCTCCTCCAACCCTCCAAAGCTCCAGGGTTCCTCTTCCACTGACTTTAACTTTTCAAGTGCTACCATATTTTTTTCCTCTCATGCTCATGCCAGTTTAGTATAGAGCACACAATTAGGTTAGCTGAAATACAGAGTAACATATTCAAGGCTATGGATTCTTGGGAGATTACAAAAAACAGTGTTTGTCATAGTAACAATGACTATGTCCAGTGGAAGCATCTATTTTCTTGAACCTTTAGCAAGACAGTCATAAATGTCATGGTCAAAAGTTTGAATTTTATTATTAGTCAGTAAAAACCACTGAAGAGCTGTAAGTCAGCAAAGGTACATTTTTTTCCTCCCTAAAATGACTCCAGCCAATTAGACCAAGGGCAGGGTTTAAATGAGAAAAACGATTCAGACAGCATCCTCTACTTTGGCCAGGTATCTTGAGCAGAACAAATATGTCTTTTATGCAAATCTAAACTTCCACTTTTACTACATAGGAAATAATACTACAGATTACAACAGGAGAGCATAATTTTATTATATAAACTTCAATAAACTATTTTAATTATTGCCTATTTATTCATCAATAAAACCAAGCACTCTCTTCCAGTTCCAAAACTCTATGATATTATAACAGAAAAAATTTTTTTGAGATAAAAACAAGGTTATAAGAGGCAAAAATGGAGTACAGAGGATTATTCAGAACATCTTTAGGTTTTTTTTTAAGTAGGTTACTAAATATTTTATACAGGACAACAGAAAGCAAGCTTTGAAACAGATATATAAAAAGGCATTACATTAAGTAGTAATTATCTAAATACTATAAAAGCTGTAAGTAAGAAGGCATATAAAATTGAAGCTAAAAACACAAGCAATATGTGACAAAACGCTATTCTCAAAAGAGAATAATGCTCTCAATGGAGGAAAATGTTCTTTCATCATGAGCAACATTCCAATTTCTTATAAGCTTGTGAAAACAACTAGTCATGCCAGGAATGTTGTTTTATTAATAGGTTAACTTTCTCTAACTCTTGATACTGTTATTTTCAGTTTAAAATAAAATGATTACTTTTTTCACTTAACTGATCACTAAGTTACATACTAAGAATGGTCATTAATAGTTAAACATTTTTCTTTTTTATGGTTTCAATCAAATTATAGGTAACTTGCCAATTATTAATTACTACCTTTTTCCCAAAGATCTTGGAATTTAATTTATGTATACAACCAAATTTAATAGGTCACAGAGAAAATGTTATACTTGCTATGCTGTTCTCTATTTGAACAAACAATTCATGCAGTTAAAAGTTTAATTCACATGGAATATATGCCCTAAGATTTTACATGTATGTACCTAAACAATTCTTTTTTTTGACCTTGCCTACTTTTCTCAACAACCCATGAAAATAAACCAATGATATGCAGTTTTCCATGATTCCTATTTATGTGGCTATTTTTGCTAATGCTTTCTAGAATACTCAGAATCATTTAATTTAGTAATGTACTCTTTCTTTATATTCATGTTTATATTCAGATTTAAGAAATTAAAAACTTACTTACCTATATAATCTATAAATGGAATTAAGGGAAAAAAACATGAGTCCTACACAGGGAAGCCACTGATTAAGTCCAATGTTTGTCTACTTAAAAAATGAATCACCCAGTTGCCACAAATTCCCTTGCGGAAAAAATGTGCAAAAGCCTTCAAATACACGAAGAACCCCATGAAAGGCATATATTAAAATAAACAAACATACTAGAAAGGTGATGATTTTTAAATATGACAATCCCATTAAAATGCAACACACGGTTTTCCACAAAAGGGAATTCTAAAAAGATGAAATAGATGCTTTATATAAAATATTTACATATACAATGCGCAAAACCCACTACGGTTAGTAACCTTTATGGCTTTGAAGAACTAGATATTTACATATCTTTCTGCATGTGCGTGTGCGTATGTGTGTTTTGTATATATTTTTAACAGTTGACAGCTGTTTTAGAGCATACAGAGATGCCAAGCTGAATGAGGGTCTTGATTACTTCAAGATTAGCTATCTAAAGTTTCTATTCATTTTAAGTGTTGTTAGTTGGAAGAGTCATTAGTCACTTCCTTGTCTCATAGAACATCAGCATACATTTACATTGTTAATGAACATTTGGGGTAAATGAATTAATGGCACTTTTAAACATCAATTCAGTCCTAATAACTTTGTATGTCACAGAAATGTTAGGCAAGGATATAAACGAAAAGCCTTTTCAGTAAAGGTAACTACTCCTTCCTGCAACAATGAAGGACAAAATTAATTTAAAATATTTTAACCAGTTTTTTTAAAGCCTCAATATTGAATGAAATAGACCAGAGAAAAATATGCACTTAAAAAAAAAATTCTATGCTCTAAAATAAGTATTTTAGCCAGAAAATTTTGGTGAAAATATTTTATATATGTAAAACACAAAAACATATTCACTTTTATAATATCCTCTGATATAACAATTTGTAAAGTAATTGGACTTATTTAATTATGAATGATTCTTACAGATACTGCATTTCAGAAAAAACATTACTAAGGAAGGTATATTCTTACTGCTGAAATTTTTAAAACACAGACACTAAAATGGGACACTAATAATTTTTATATTATTTTTCATATTTCAAAACATTTAATGCAGTCTTTTTGAGGGCTTTAAATAAAAGCAAATATTAAAATAAAATCACAAATATAAGTTGTATGACAAATTATACTATTTTCAATAACACACGCCATAAAATAAAGTACTTGTACACTAAAGAAATGGCCATTTTAAGGAATCAGTTATTTTTAAAATTCTCAAGACATGAGATAATTGCAGGCTTTTATATCAATATAGAAAAAATTTGTATTTGAAGTATACAAAACACATGTAAATTACCTTGACTAATTATGATTTTTAAAATAGATCTCATAATCCTGATCTATTTCATGAGTGAAAAATTACAAGGCATTTCCTGAATCAATAAATCAACTTTATCAACATTTAGTGAATTAAAAATAAGGATAAGCTTCAAGAATTCTCAGAAACTGCTTTTCTTCTAAGATATCATATTATTATTACGGATACTGAGAAAAAAATACAAAGTTCTGATAAACACACATTTGATAAATTTTTATGAGATAGGCCTTGAATACAGTTTACCTTTTAACAATCTATTTTTTAACAATTTCAATGCAAAGATCTTTTCAAATGAAACACAAATTTCAATTTTTTTTTTTTAAAGGAGAGTCAGGCCAGTCTTTTATTCTGGAATAATCTCAGCTTGCTGGAGGAAAAAAAAAAAGAAAACCCTGAAAAATCAACATCAAAAGGCTTAAACTCCATTAAAAGAAGTTTGACAAAAGTCATTTCACATTCCAACATCCTTATGCTAACGTAATTGTTTAAGTATGGGTTTTTAAAAACAAATGACAGCACATTACACATTTGACTAATGTTTTTGTTCACAAATAAAAGTTGATGTTTTGTGGTATTCATTTCTGTCAGAGTGCTCTAGACCTATGCAGGGAAATGTTCTTTAAAGTTGCCCTGCTTTGCTTCATTTACGGAATTACACATGTAAAGCAGGCAGAACTAACTGAAGGCCCTCTGCTATGGTTCCCAGTAACCGCAGAACGTATCTGCACACAAAACTCACCTCCCGTCTTGTTTGAGTAACTCGACAAGGGGTCAACACCCACTTCTTGTTCTTCTGGCTGCAGAGGATGTCTAGTTTCAGATAAGGAATGATACATTGTGAAAACTGGACAGTGTCAGCGAAAGTGACAACCTGGGTGATGAAAAATATAGAAAAAAATGGTAAATATTTTTTCTTTCTGCGATGACTGGGAATAAGTACAAGCCAAAATGATTAAGTGAACATTACAGACATAAACAAGTTTTCTACCAGCTGCATGGACTGTTGCTACACACTGGTAGCATATGCAAAGAACTGAAAAAGTGGCACTAAATTACCATGTCAACAATTTCTTTCCAAAGTGGAACTTTGTTGGTAACCTTTAACTCAATGCTCAATCACATTGTCAGTAAATTGCACAAAAAGTTGAATTTTAAATTAAATTATTGTCACATTGGTAATATCCTTGTTTCACTGCCAAAATAATAAACATTTACAACAGAAACTTTCAAAATATAGAAAATACAGCAAACTGAAATCATTCATAATTGAGTAGCTAAAAGTACTGTGGTTAACATTTCAGTTTACTTTATATATCTTTCCTGCCTTTTTCCTGGCATTTAAAATATAAATAGATATATATAACTTTATATATATAAATACATATTAAAATATAAATATATATAAAACTTTTAATGTGACCCATCATGCTAAACATACTGATTATATAAATTGTTGTTTTCCTTCCCATAAAAAACCTATTATCATTTGTAATGCATCCCTAGTATTCCATTATATAGCTATAACAATTTCTGTATCCAATTCCTTATTAGTAAACAATTAGGATATTTTTAGTTATTCAACATTATAAACAGCCTCATTAGTTTGGCAGTATCTGTGCTATATCCATGATTATTGTCTTAGGATAAATTCTTGTAAGTATAATTGTTGGACCCAAACATATATTTAAAAAAATTTTTTTATTGTTCAATTACAGTTGTCCCCATTTTTCCGCTATTACTCTCCCCTGCCCTACCCACCCCCACCTCCCACATTCAATCCTCCTCCTGTCCACCCAACCCTCCCCGCCACACTTGTCTTTGTCCATAGGTCAACGGGATTCGTTTTTGGTTCATTTCCCAGGAACCTTCATAACAATGGGAATGGGTAATTCCTTGGCTGGGGGTGCGGAGTGGTGTGGACCAGAGCAATAGTCAAATTTTACATTGCATTTGCTTGGTCACTAGTGAAGTTACTGAAGACTTCACATGTTTCCTCTGACATTTGTTTATTGTCTTGTGTAGATGGAATTTATTATGATTGGCTTCATGATTTTAAGCATGCTTTTAAATATTAAGGATATTAAACCTTTTTCACAGGATACATATATTTTTCTCAGACTGTGTGTGTCTTCAAACTATGTGGCATTTTTGTGACATTGTAATTTTTTCATTTTCACACACCCAAATATACCTTTTCCTCCTTTATGGTTTCTGTCTCTGGTAATATGCTTACAAAGGCAAGATTATAGAAATAAGCATGTGTATTTCTTTTTATAGTTTTGAAGGTTTTCCTCCTTAATCCTTATGTCTATAAATAATTCAAATTTACATAGAGATTTTTTAATTAAATTATTTTTGAACTTTCACTGACAGAAGCACTGACAGAAGCAGAGCGTTAGGCAAAACCAATACCAGGGAAAACTGTAAGTCCTAAATGCATAAATCTAGATGGTTGTCAGTATTTGTTTGTGTGCAAATCAATCAACACATACTAAATACTTACAATTGTTAAAGAAGAAACAGCAGGCCCAAAATGAAGTCACTTGTGCTAACTCCCATTTCAGCAAACCAAAACTTAATACCTCACTCAATTGCAGTTTCAGCCTCTCCCAGGAATGTAACCTTTAACCAGTCAACCTGGAATTACCTGGTCAGCACTAGTGAGGTAATCCCCAGTAAGTAATCCCCTTCAGTTGCAGGTTAATGAAATCCGAAACAATCTACACTTTTCCCCATTCTGCCTACAGAATCCTTCCATTTTTGTACAACTTGGAGTTCTATTTGATAGATGGGATGCTGCCTGACTGCATGAATCACTGAGTAAAACTGATCGTCAAATTTACTAAGTTGAATTTTTGATATTTAATACTATAAAGAAGGAATTCTGGGGAATATAACCTAGAAGAGAAGAGCGAAATGTGGATGATCATTTATATTGTAAAACAGAACCTGAGATACTCTGCTGAAGTTCTCTACTAGGGCAAAGTTTAAGGATCACCAACTGGAACGCCTAACGGGGTCAGGCAAAAGCCTTAGGAATTACAGTTAACATCTGCTAAACAATGAATATATATACTAACAAAAACTCATCATTTCATCCTTCTAACAATGCTATGACACATCTTCATCATTTTCATTTAACCAAAAACTGAGGTATAGAGAGATTAAGTAATTTGTCTACAGTCACGTAATTAGGAGGTGTTGCAGCCTGAATATGAATCCATCATCCTGTTTTACTCCGCAGCTCCCATTCTTTACTCCTACACTACATTTGACTCCATTAGTCAATAACACAAATAGACAAGTTATAAAACATGGGGGTATAAAGGACAGGATCTGTGAATCATTGGAACATCCTTTATTCTGCTTCAACTTTTTCAAGACAAACTAGAAATCCAGAGTTTTCTGTGAAATCTCTTTCAAATGTTAGTAAATCATTTAAATTTAAAGAAAAAAGAATTTATGAAACAAAAACACATTTCAAAATTGTACGTGACCCACGGACAACTATTTAATGATGATTCATATCCTCTATGCATTTTGTATACTTTCAAAATACAGGAGTAAACATTTGAAAATACGCATTCCAAGTTAAATGCCAAATTTCCTTAAAATTTCTTTAATCCCCCATAGGATGTATTCATATGATTATCTTAATTTCTTATTTTTATAGTATTCTTTCTCTGTTACAAACTTCACATACCTGAAATATACAAATAAGGGGACTTGATATATTCTATGAGAAATAAATGATGAGCAAACTGATAGCAAAGTATATTTTTGAAAGGATATAAAAAAACTTTCTAAGGCTAAAATACTCTACAATATAATAATGTTTGCACATTCCTTTAGGATACTCAAAGGTACTTGATTTTTTTGGAATCCTTAGAGAAAGTTAGATTCAAGAAATCATTTGACTTTAGCTTTAATAATAATTCTTTATAAACTGCTAACTCTTTAGTAATACCAATAACCACAATACAAAATTTACCAAATACACCAAACTACAATACAGGTATCCACTATATTCAAATTTATTATGCTTATGAATTATAATGGAGTCACTGAAATGCTTTTACAATTAAATAAAGACAACTTGCTGAGTAATGACAATGAGTTAATATGAAGAACCCTGATGTAAAAATGTGTAGAAAATTCTTTTAATTATGAATTTAAAATAATAATCTAAATCAAAAGTCACTTACTAATAAATAGGTGCTGCTTTGGTTTTTTGTTGTTTAGTTTTAAATAAAAAGAGCTATTTTAGCTCTCTAGAATAAAAAAAATTAAGTGAGTTAGTTACTGCTATTGTTATTATCTTATAAAATCACAATACAATGTTGTTTTTCAATGTGAAGTAATTTTCTTAAAATTTTCCAATTTGTGTTTTGTGGCTATACAAACAAGTGAAAATAGTTGACTCTGGCAAAGCAGATTATTAAAGGTTTTTAAACGAATGAATCTATATTTATTTTATCTACTATTACGAATGAAATTTTATTAGACCACATGAAAATATCTGACAAAAATTCAAATAAAAAGTTAAAGAAAAATTTTAGTCTGAAATTTCAAAATAATTACTATAAAAGTAAAAATGGCATAAACTCTCTGAAACACACAACAGATCATTACATTTTATATTTGTATTATAAACTTAGACTTCTATATTTGATATGCTTTAATGTTCTCTACATAGAATGTGTATTTATACAGAGAAAAATTCATAATGATCGAAATGTAAATGCCTACTCAAATCCATACTTGATGGATTTCAGTTTTCTTAAATAATATCAAATTGTCTCTAGAATTTCCCTGATTGACAAAAGATGGTACTCAAAACATTTTTTAAAATAAAGGCAACCTTATTTTTTCCTAATTCAGAAAGCACAGCAATATACCTTCCAATATCTGAGGAAGGAAATATCCTTCTCTTTGCTATACTTACTATAAATAACAGTTCCTGCTTCACATGAATTCAAAATACAAAAACCCTCAAAATTGGTTGTGCAACATGGTCTTACTGCTTTCCTGGTTACAAGAACTGGCACATTATGCTGAAACTACCATCTAAAATCCAAAGCTACTCTTAAGAACAGTGGTATTGGCTTCACAAACTTGGTTCTTGCAGTATTAAATCTTAAGATAAAAGTGATCTGTCTGGAAAAAGAGAAGTCTTGTGAAATAGTTAATATTTAATGAAAGATAGGAGTTTAGCACTAAAGCTTAGAAAACAGTTTTAATATATATTAAGTAAAATTTCAAAACAATATTTTTCATGTAAACTGAAGCAATATTAAGTTTGAGATTTCAATTAGCATTGTACAGACAAAACATGTTGAATAAAATTTTCTCTTTTAAATTGGCATCATATAATCAAAGCCTCTAGGAAAAAAAATGTATTTCTCCTGAACCTGAAGTTCTATGTATTTCAGCTTGTATTCACTCTTTCACTGTTTCTGATACAGAGGCATAGAATTAGCATTCTGAATTGTGTCTTCTAAAGACATCCATATTCAGAGCTCATATAAGCATACTCATTCATTTAAATTCTTGACTGATGGTAAACTTAAAGTATAACACAAATGATGGAGTAATATTACTTTCCATGAAGATATCTCTTATAAGAAAACCATATCAAAGAGCTTAAATGAACCATTTCCAAAGCACGATTATAAAAGGGGGAGAGGATATAGCATGAATAAGTATCTGTTACAGGAGCATGCATTTACTATGATGGGTATATAGCCTAAAATATGACATCTTAGCTATAAAACCTAGAAACTTTGATAAAGCTGTATTTTCGTAATTAAGAGACAAAGTAACTGAGTTATAGAATTGACAAAACTATTTAAAAATGTTGGTAGCTAGTAG